GGTTCTCCCAGCACCCCATTCATTCCCCCCATCCATTCCCCCTGCTCCCCACTCATTCTCCCCTCCTGTTCATTCCCCCCACCCTCTGTTCATTCTCTCAGCTTCCTACTTGCTCTCCCAGCCCCCTCAAGCTCACCAGCAGTAGCAGAAAATGAGCAGGAGGATGGAGAGAGCAGGGGAAGTCTCCAGCTTATCTCCAGGGGCTTGTCTCCAGCCTCCTGCTCATCTCTAGCCCTCTGCTTCTTCCCCTGCTGGTCTCCAGCCTCAGGAGTGAGCAGGAGGCTGGAGACTGCCCCTGGAGACATTGCCCTGCTATCTCCAGTGCCCTTCTCCTTCCCCTGCTCCCCTGAGGTTGGAGACAAGCAGGGGAAGAAGCAGGGGACTGGAGACAGCCACGGAGACATTCCCCTGCTGCCTCCAGCCTCAGGAGAGCAGGGGGCAGCAGGGGAATGTTTCCAAGGCTGTCTCCAGCCCCTTACTCATTCCCCTGCTGTCTCCAGTTTCCCAAGGTCCCCTCCCCCCTCCTAAAGCCCCCCCAACCCTCTGCTTACCTGACGAAAGCCAGGACCTGGTCCAGGTCTGGGTCCGGGCCCAGGTCCCTGCAGCTTTCACCGCTGCCTGCCCAGTACAGGCAGGCAGCGTGCTTCAGGAGTGGAGAAAGGGCCAATCATAGAGATGCTCGGGAGGACTGAGCCTCCAGTTGCCTCAGGTTTTCCCCCCCGCAGTTTTTGTTTGTCCCCTGGGGTCTAATTTTCTCCCTGCACTGCAAGTCTGCAGTACAGGGAACATTTTTTCATTCCTGCACATGCCTCTTGCCCCACCTCAAAGGGGTTTGAGATGAGGCAAGAGGCACATGCGCTCTCGTCTGGACGTGCCCACCGAGGGTATTTAGTACGAGTTAATAAACTCTAACATGCAGCCACTTGTATTTTAAGTGCCTTTAGTATGGTCTAAATGCAATGTGCAACTTCACTGTAAATGGAACACTCACTGATGCCAATGGATACTTTTTTTTTTTTTTTTTTTTTTTTTAATGAAAAGAAAGAGCAACAGGAAGGAAAAACAGATTTTGGGCCAGTTTGAAAAGAGCCTGTGTTTTGCAAAAACAGACAAAATATTCTTAGTCATCATTGGATAAATGCACACAATACAAAGCACTTGCTGCGTACACCTGCACTAATATGAAACTGAATTAAAAGACAACTTTGCATTCAGTTTCATGCCTTCATTTTCCATGATCATCTGTGCATGCAATCATCCCTGGCAAAGAGTGAATTTTGATATGGAATATTAATTGAAAGCCAATTTTAAACTGTACATGTGCTCATAAATTCTTAATTATAGTAATTTCACCCCACTGAGGGAACAGAAACAATACTGAGACTTCCTAACCTTGCACTAATTCATAAATGAATTGCATTCTACAAATTATTTACGGAATACTTTGGAATAATCAAGAGATGTACAGATATTAAAATCTCTTCACAAGAAAAAAAAATGAAGCAGCAAAAAAGTCACTGAATAAATGTTATTGTTTATCCAGCAGCATTATTGGCATTCAGATCCATACTTTTACATGGGGAATTCTAAATCTAAGCAGGCATCATAGAATATTCTCAGGAGTTACTATGAAGGTTTATTAGCAAAACAACATAAATTTCCAATGGTTAATGCACATGGCAGCCATTCCTGTACTGGATACAAGGAAAAGGTAGAGTAGTGTTGCACCTTAGACACTACTAGGCTCATAGAGGCACAAGGTCCAAGGTAACAACTTACTTTGTCAGATGCTAGGAATGAACTGGCAAAGGAAAGTTTATATATAGATAGGAAGGAAAGGGTCAAGGGGTAGGGGCATTGCTAAGGGAGGCATAGGAGGATTGATTAGATCAATGAAGGGCCATGTCACACATTACATCTAGAAGATGTTAACCACACTTAAAATGCAGTGTGGTTAACAGCACTTAAAAGCAGCTGTACATTCAAGCAGTGAAATACATGCTAAGGGTAGCAAAGTTGTGACTTTTAATGGGAGGAGTATTTCCAGATTGCATTAAGTAGCACCTCTTCAGCTACTGTTGGACCATTCCACAGAGATTATATGTACAATCCCTGATGATAAGGCCCTAAAATAGTCTCTCTGTACTTGAGACAGACAAATTATCTTTAGGGCTGTTTACCAGGTGCGTTTCTTGAGCACTAAATTAATGTGAAAGAAATTAAAAGTGGAACTACCCCTATGGTTAAATTCTGTTCTCACTGAAATCTATATGAAATTCCTTGGACAAAATCCTAGTCCCAATGAAGTATTTCCACTGGCTTCAGTGGGGCCAGGGTTTCTCCCACACACGCTACACTGAAACCAGGATTTACCTCTTAATGGGTATCAGTCTAAATGGTCAGCCATTAAAAAAAATGTGTAACCCTCTGGAAGCTTGGATTTCCCATATTCTAGTACATTTAAGCTAAAATACAGACTTGACAAAAAGACTTTTATCCCAGTAAATTTATATACATTCACTCTGCTGCACTCTATAAATGTTGAAATGCTGAGTACCATTTCTAGGGAAATAAATTACTACAATTACAAAAAGCAAAGATTCACCTCTGGGTGATTTGGAGAAATAAAGACATGGAATGTACACCACGGTGGTAACTCTAAGCAGTATGTTTACTAAATCATTTCTATATATCCAAGTTTTCAGGCTGCATGAAATCACTAAAGAATATAATCAGAACCCTAAACTATCTGGTCTCATTCAGTTTTTCTTCCCTGATTTCATTGGATTTCTGTGTTGCATCCCTAAACCTCTTGATCTTAGGCACATAAGGCATGCAATTACTGGCTTCCACTACTGTGGTATCCAGACAGAAAGACTGAGTGACATGGTCAAGGTTAAAACAGGAGCCTTTAGCAGAGCAGGAAAACAAACCTGAGGGTCCCAAGTTCCCTAATCACTAGACTATCCCTGCTGTCTTATTATAGTGCTTACAAGGCACCTTTGCCAGATGTAACTAGTACACAAGCTCCCAATCTCTCCCAACTATTAAAGGCCCTCCTGCAACTCCGGGGAAAAAATTTACCTCTGCCAGGTGAGGAATGGAGCTGGTAGGATGCCACGCCAGAAATGGAACGTGGCAAAAGTGAAACTGCAGTGGGCGGAGACGCCGCGATAAAAAGAGAAAAAATGGCTGAGCCAGAAGGAGCCAGAACCAGCTCCCATGTCAGCATGGGTGCACTTTGTGGTAGCGTGCTGGGGCCAATTGGTTGGCCGGACCCCTGGAGCCGGGATAAAAGGCCTGGCAGGAGACCAGATGAGGACTGGAAGTGAGGTCCATGACCGGCCCAGAGGGGCCAGATCTGGAACCTGGTCCCAGTGCAGGAACCTGGTGGCTGCCCCAGGAAGGGGCTTTTGCAAAGACTCAGGGCCAGAGAGGGCCCAAGGACATACCTACAGAGTCCTTGTGGATACCAGACATCCACAGCATGGACTGGATCCTGGCAGGACCAAGTAGGATGAGGATCAATAAATGACTGACCCATGGCAAGTACACAGCCCAATTAGGGAGCAAGATGCTGGGGACAGGACAGCACCAGATCAGGAAGACGCATAGATGAGGCAAAAGGGTGGTAGGGAGCACTCGGACCAAATAACATTCCAATCCTTCTACCATAAGTTTAAAGGGCTTAAGCACCAAGGTGCACTATATACCAATTCAGACAGTTCAGGCGATAACATCTTTGGTTGGCGTTAGGCGGGGTGTTGGGGAGGTGGAGCCCCAAGCAGGAAGAACAACTGGGATGACCGAAGGCACCAGGAGGGATGGAACAGACCATCTTTCTCCCAATTAAAATTACTTTTTCAAAGACGTGGCAGGAAAGACCCCATGGGAGACTGACCAAAGTCCCTCTACTAACATATCTGTTTCTTCCCTACATTGATGGCAAAGTCAGAGAGGACCCCACATACTTGACACACAGGTGGACAGCATGGGAGACTACAAAACACAGGAGACGGAAGAGCAGAAGGAAGAAGATGGTGAAGAACAGGAGACTCCTGAATCGGATAAGAATGGAATTGCATTGATGTGGCGCACTAGGTGTACCATAAAGCAAGTGTTTTTCCCTGCTATATTGCTTCTTATCCTGAGAAAACTTGATTTCCATATTGGCCCAGCTAATGAATCTAGGGAAAACAGTTACCACCCCCCCCTCGTGTGGAATCAAGTGTTTCAGTCCCTTCTGTCCTCTTACCTCTGATCCAGTAGAGCTCTGCCATCCAGAATCACAGAGGATCTTCCTTCCCCTCTATGCCTCTGTATCAGTCCTTTGAAAGGGAGTATGCTGAATCCTACCCCTAGGGGAAAACACACTACCAATATTAAAAAAAAAAAAAATAAAGAAGCTTGATCTTAAAATAAACCAGATTTATCTCAAACCAGTTTTGGCCATTTTGAAACTGGTTTAAACCAGTTACTGATCACTTAAACCAGTGTGTGTGTAATATTTGTCCCTAGCTTAAAGAACACACCCTTTCCTCACAAAAGGTTGAGCCTATAAACCAAATTTTCTGCATAATGTAGGACCAATAAGACACCTTGTTGTGCACTGATAATTGTTACTTTTTATATGCAATTTCTTACATCAGTTCTTAATAGCTATACCTTCTTCCCATTGCTGGAGATGAAGTACATTCAGTCCACCATAACAGCTCCAAAAAGAGGGTTTATTTCTTTTGTCCACAAAGATGGAATTATTTCTATACTTTCTTATTTTCTTTCCTGCTGTAAACTTATACTGTTTCATAAAGGGAGCTGTGTAGTTTTTCTTGATGCATAGATAGCTAGCTTCATATAATGATAGCACTAGAAAAGAAATAATCACAACTTGAAAGGATATAAAGATTGTACTGCCTGAAATGCACTTCACACTAAAACATTCCTCTAGCTTTAAATTCATATATGACTCATCAGTGGCCATTGACACTTATTTTCAAATGAGAAGTGAAGTGAATTTCTAAAGGGCTTTTCCTCCCTTCTCTCTCAGATGGCTGATTCTATCAAACAAAGATCTAGGAATGCCTCTCAGTGGAAAAAGCATGTCATAGCAGAAGCCTCAAATCTAGCTCCTAGACTAAGATTTTTCTGCAGAGAAACATTCCAGAAACATGACAATTACAAAGAGAACAAAATAAGATATATGGAGGAGCTTAGATTATACACTTGTGTAAAGTGAAATGGAAGGAAAAAACAACTATGAAAAATTATGTATCTGTCAGAATAGTGATGGATTGCTTGCAATGACAGAGTAACAGAATCTCACCTATTTCTTAATTAAAATTATGTTAGAGTCTATGCATAAAGATCTCTCATTTTTTTAAAAAAGAATGATATATTCAATAATAATATATTTAAAAAATATTAATTACTCATTAAATGAAGACTTGATTATTGTTCATTAAAATGTGTGCCCTAATTATTTAAAGATCTGATTTTTTTCAGGTCAGAAGAAGGTTCTTGCAAATATAACAATCCTAAACCTGAAATAATTAGTTGTGGGAAATAAAGAAAAAAAATATTTAAAAAAACCCCTCTCATTGATTTGAATAAGACATTTGGGTTTTGAGCCTAACATAGTACCCCCAAACTACTGGCCAAAATGGCAGCTACAATCGCTTCATAAATAGAGAACGTCAGCCACAGACTGGAAGAACACTAGCTGACACAGTATTCCTGCTCTCCCATCTTCTTTCCATGGGCCAGGGTAACACAGAACACTGTGGGATACTGGAAGAAAGAAACTTCTCCTGCTGCACACCATCAAGTATATGGAACAGGAAGCACTTTGTCTTAAAGCCCTTCTAAATAGGACTTACTTTCTTCAAGATTACTTTTGGAGCACGTAGCAGTCTTAGGAGCACTTAAAAGATTACATCTGTGCAGCTCACCATTTGAAACACTTCAAATGTCATGCCTGTCCACACTTAAGACTAAATTGCAAGGTTGGGTCTTCAAAGGTGAAATCACATCAACTAGCCTAACCTGTATATAATAGAAGGCAAGACCCACTCAGAAACATCATAAACATCCCCATAAGCACTGGAACATTAATTTACTGCACAAATCTACAGATACCATTAAATGCAGTGCTATAAGACCTATTAAACTCAAATAGATCAGTGTTTGTTTGTTTTTTTGTTTTTGTTTTTGGGTTTTTTTGTTTTTAAGGGAAATGCCATGCTCCATACCTGCTAAAAAGGCGTTTGTCAACCTGACCTTCCATATTTCTCAAGGGGTAATCATACATCCTTTACCTCAACCTAATGAGCAAATTAGTTATAATGAAAATGACAACAGCAGCACTACAGTAGAACCCCATTAAGCAGAGATTTGTTACCAGTGGGGTCTGTCTATTGCATAGGCTTTCTTTTTCTTTCCTCCCTCCTACATCTAGCTATCATCAGCCAAGATGCTTCTGTTAATGAATCCAGTATACAACTTACAGTACTGGGCCAAAACATTCCCAGGGAAGTTTGAGTCCTAGCACCGTTGTGACTTGGTACAAGCAGAGTTGTGGAGTTGCTCGTGTGTGACCTGTAAGTGGGCATAGTAAGGAAAAGCTTCAGCTGCTGTCTGAGGTGGAAGAGAGACAGGAGAACCATTTTCTTTTTGTAGGTTTCCCTTTTCTATATATGCTTATAAGGAATACCAACTGCTGGGTTGATGAGTGCTTTAAAGCGAGGAGTGTAATAAGGGGCCAAATATCATAAATTCTGTGGAACTAGAAATATGGCCCGAGAATCAAATATAATGCTCAAATGTTATGGCGTAGAAAGCTGCAAACAAAACTAAACTTACTATCATACACGATCCTTTCTTCTATATGCACCACACCCTACCCATCATTCCTGCCCTAGATTGCTTTCCCAAAAGGAAGGAGTAAAAGCTTTCCTTGATCTCAGGTTGGGATTTGTATCCCTTGGGTCAGAGGGAACAGACATTTTGCTGCAGGTTTAGTCAGCAGTTCATGATTCCTGGTGTTTGTCCAGATTTCTCAGGCCCTCATAACTGTGAGGGTAACTGAGGGTGCATCTACAAATGCAATTAATGTGACTGAATAAACTCCGATACAATTTCAGCCAGAGTAAACTAATCCTGACCTCACCATCTACATATGCATTTAAGAGCAGTAATTTACTCCACCACTGGATAGTACCTGTGTCTGACATAACTATCCTTTGCCAGAGTAAATTAATCTATTGCACCCTAATTGCAGCACACATGTAGACAGTGACACTTTACTGAGCAATACAGTACACATGTAGATACACAGTGTAGATATCAAATGGCACAAATAACCCACAGAAACCACCATCATGAAGGTGCCACTGAGCAGACTGGAGGAGGAACAGACAGATGGATCTTGCTAAAACAAACTATTTAAAACTATAAATGCAATAGCTGCTGTTGTTAGATTACCCTTGAAGTGAAAGGTACTAATAGATTATTACTCTGATTTACAATAAAATAATTACAATAATTATTTCTATCCAAATGCATAAGTTAAACCAGGTTTGGGCAGCTGAGAGACTCTTTTCATGATAGCTCAGGAGGGAGTGGTGGCCTGGAGCCAAAGGGACAAACTGAAACAGCCATTTCTTCAGATGTTGCAAGCCAATACTCCACTGAACAAATCTACAGAGATTTACAGTCTCTGGGGATCTGACCCACAGAGTGACCCTGATGCTTCAGGGAAGAGTGTCTCTCTAATGCTACCTGTTGCTGCTTCTGAGACACTGCAACTGGCTGTTCAAACCAACACCTTATGTTCCTGGGAAGTCACAGACCCTCTTTCAGCCACAGTTTGTACCAGCAGCCTGGTAGGACATGCCAGTGCAAGGTGGTATAGGGTAAGGCCAGATGAGCATCATGTGGACATCTGTAGTCTGAATTAAAAGTGGCTCCAGTCCAAATTAATTTTAATCCTCATTCAATGAGGATTAGTTAAAGTAGACCAGGGCAGTCTGAATTACGCAATTTAAGCAGTATTAATTAACATCCATCTATCTGTCTATCTATCCATCTGGCATTGCTTTTAGGAAAATAATCCTTAGGAACTCAGATAAGCGGATAAACATTTCAAATAATCAATCCCTTCAAGGAAAACTCAACTGGGTTTTTGCACGAGTCTATCAGAGGCACAAAGCAACACCTTTATAAATTCAAATGTGTCCACAACGTCTCATGATGACCAAGTATCAGGTCAATTGCACAGCACTTTAGATAACTGCAACAGTGTAGCAGTGCTAAGCAGGCTTATTATCACCACTTAATTACTTCCAACCTCTGTTGAGGGTCCGTCAAGTGTGTAGACTGTGTATAGCCAGTGCCCCCTGCTGTGATGGTCAGTGATCATCTATTAACCCTTAATTGGACTTGAAATTTGATTCAAACTGTTTGATGCAGTTAACAGTTAGAAAATGCTGAGCATGTCTACAAACAGCCACTCATTCCACACTAAAGCTATGTCTACATTGTGACCCTAGCGTTCTGAGGAAGGAACATTCCTGAATATATTTGCTCTTGCACACATGCCAAACCCAAAACTGTGGCAGTAAAGTCACCACAGGTTTGTCTCTGTGACCACTTTCAAACATACTGGAGACATAGGGCTCAAGAACAGTCACAAGAAAGTGCCTTTGGAGTGGCTTCAGTTATGATGAAGTGGGGACATGGGCTGTCAGTCCAAAGATCAGGAATTATCATAGAGAGTAATAAGGTCAAGCCAGCTATCCATCCAGATCTGTAGCCTCAGGCCAGGAGTTGTGATAAAAATCAGGGTCAAGGCATACTGTGTAGGTCATATCTGGAAGTCCAAACAGAAGTACTTGGGGACAGGCAGGCCAGGAACAGGACAGTCTGGGATGGGAACCAGAAGGCATAGTAGTAGGAGCAAAAACAGGCAGGCACTGGGAAGGGATCCAAACAGGAGTGAGGTGTGGGTTCAGGCTAGGGAAGGTGCAGGTAGGAGCTAGGCTAGGCATATATGCAAGCACGAATGTAGGCAAGGATCAAGGCAAAGCTTAGGTCAGGCAAGGTTTGGGTGGGAGTTAGGTCAGCAGGATTCCAGGTAGGTCAGGAGACAATCAAATGATCTGTCACTCAGGAAAAAAATTGCTGTCTAGCCTGAAAGCCTGTGGGGGCAGGCTGTCTTCCTTGGAGCCCTGGGGATGACTCAGCCAAGCACCCTGATTACCACTAGCCATTACTGTGATTACCCAGCTGGGCCTAGGTGCCTTAAGGCTTCACTACAACATTTCTGGGTCTGGTATGCATGGCCAGGACTTACTTGGAAACATTCCTCCCCAAGAACACTAGGGACAAAGTGTGGACATACAATAAGGGTCTTATTTTATCCACTGTGGAAACAGATCAAGTCAAACAGTGAAAAGGCACTCTATGGGCATGTCTACACAAGATAATAACTGTGCAGCAACCTGATACTACTGAGCAATAGCGTTGCCTGGCAAAAACCGTGACACAGTAGTATTGGGCTACTCTGCCTTTTTTTGTGATGCTACTGCATTCTCCAGAGCTACTGAGCTTTTATTTAGTACTTGTTTATACAAGTAGTAAATAAATGTGCAGTAATGACTGTGCAATAACATCTCATGTAGATGCGCCCCGTGTCAAATAGGCATGCCCACCTCAAAAAAAAAAAAAGACATTGTACTTTACATTTATACCTAATCATGTTTGCAATAGCTTCTGCAACTTTACAACCCCTGGTCAATTAGGTTGTGTCAAAACAGGACCTGGAGGGGTTCACTAACTGATGTTCAAAATGCCTTTGCAGTTTGGGTGATAGAGACCAGTAGTGATGCATAGGGGATGCAAGTGCACCCCCTGTCAGGCCATGCTCCCTGTTTAGCCAGCAGGCAGGAGCGCTAGTACCCTACCTAGAAGTGCCAGCCAGCAACCACACCACTTCCGGAAACATCCGCAGGACTTCTGGAAGTGGCACAACCACTTTTTGGTGATTGCAATAGTCCATGGGAGACCCCTGCCCCCCAGTCAGTCACTGACTGGTGTCGGGGGGGGGGGGGGGGGGTGTGCCCATGTGCCTCCGACT